AATGAGGCTGGGGGTATGATATGGTTTATATAATCTTGAGAAAGACACTCAGGTTTATAATTGTATCGTGTCATTTCTTAAAACATCACTAACAAGATCTACAGCATTAATAGTGTACATTGCAGAGAGAGACTATTAGTTTGTTGTGTTGTACTGTACCTTGCTTTGTTGTACTGTGACTTTTTTTTTTTGAGAGCTTTTCTCTTACTTCAGGGTTCACTTTCATTATGGCCCATGATTGAGGAGAAAATTCTTTTCTTATTCTATGAATTAAACATATTATCCTTTGTTTTATGGTTTATTTTTTGCTTCTAGGTTTTAAACCTAATGAATCTCACTTGATATGACCTGATATCCTGCACATATTTTGATAATTGGATCATCCTAAGAAACAGGAAACAAGCTGTTTCGTTTGCTGATGGAGTCAGAGTGAGACAATGGTGTCCCTGGTGTCACCTGATGATTAAAAATTTGGAAACAGTTTGTCCTATTTAAAAGTTGTCACATTTCTTATTTGAAATAAAATAAACATTATTGAAAAATGTTAACCCACCATATATATTTAGAGTGTGATCGTCATACTCCTTCATATTTTTATAAAGCTTTACAATGTACAAAACACTGACATGCAGAAGTTATTTTTGGATATCTCTTAAAGTGCCCATACAGCCTCTATTTTCTTATTTTATAAGTAAAGTCCCTGAAGCTCAGAGAGGTTGTAGGTGGGCCAGGTCCTCTGTCCTAATTATTTTTACACTGTACCACAACAGTTCTCCACAAAGTATAATCCTGCAAATAGTTCTTTTAGTTCTGAGTCCTTTTGTCATTTTGAAGATCTCTGGTATAAGCACAGGGAGAATAAAAATGTAGAAATACAGGGATTTTCAAATATGTGGATCTAATTTTCCATCTCATTCCCCTTTGGTTTCTAACTTGGTGAAGCTGTTCAGACAAAAGCTAGGTTTATTTATTTATTTATTTTTTAATCTGGCGTGGGTCTACTCAAAAGATCCTTATCTACCCAGAGGATTCACAGAACTAATGATTAACTTGAGCTACCTCTAGCCCATCTGGCACCTTTCTTCTTCTTCTGGACCAATAAAGAGTTGGGTTGAACACGGCTTGGTGAGTAAGGTCTGGGATGTGATCAGCCCCAACCCACCCTCTCTCTCAATGCCATTGTACAGGCTTGCTCCGATTCAACTCAGAAATACTGGGTCTACCTTTAGGCAACTTCAAAGGGGGGAAGCCTTATCAGGCTAGGTTGCTCCCTGAGAACTTAGTGCTATTATATCACTCAAGGGTCACTCAAGAGGAGACTTAATATTTTCATCATACACACCATTGCTGAAGTGCTGAGCTGTCCTATCCATGGAGTCATGTGAACTGGAATCTACCCAGGTCCATTTTTAGGAATCTTCATGGATGTTAAAGAAATGGCTTGGACGTTATCTGGCTATTATAATCATATTGCTGTTTTCTGGATGCCTAAGGGAGTCATAGATAACTAACTGATTACCTCAAATGAGCCTCACCCAATTGATTATGGAAATTCTGCCCAGAATCCCAGTATGGATCTATATGGAATTAACACCTGTCTGGGTTTCTCTGAACAGCTATGAGAAGTTTGTCTGCATGAGGACAAAGGAACCTCTCAGGAAAAGTCATCTCAAGGGAAAAAAGTCCCAAGCAGGAGCTTGGGTCCTTTTTTAGCAAGAAAGAACTTGTCACCTGAATGGTGGTGGTGATCTGAGTTTGATTTGCTGGCTGTCAGTTGAGTCAATCTCCGGCTAGCTTCTGAAAAAGTGTCTGATTCCTAGGCATAAATGGAATGACAAGTAAAATTAAGAGAGTATTCTATTAAGAATTCCATACACTGGGAATATTGGTTCAAGCAACGTAAAGAGGGGGTTCTTTTGATAAAATATGATATGGAGGGGAAAAGACATTGAGTCCCTCCATGCTTTAATACTCGATCATAATGTTTCTCTAGGCAAAGATGCAGCTTGAAGATGAGGTTGTGCTTCTTTTCAGAACCATGAGCACCCAGATGCACAATTAAAGGCTTAACAAGTCCTTTTAGATGAAGATGGTAAGGTATTAGAGAAAGGTATCAGTGCTTCTCTGCTTGGCAGGTGTCCTGGTCAGTTAGTTTGAGGAAGAGATGAAGCTGCCTTTGTTAGTTACAAATTCTGCTGTCTCATCCCAGGAATCTGTAGTTGATTTCCAGTCTCATGTAATCAGTTTATGCTTCTAATACAGGCATATTAAATGCAAGGCATGTGTACTTGCATTTTCTCCAAGCATGTAACCATGGGAAACATGGTTGATCATCCATAAAACTGTTTTCTAGAGCCCAAACATGGCCTGAGTAGTATCCTTAACACAGTCCTCCAGGAAGTGACTAGAAACTAATTTGCAACCCCTGTCCTAACATGTTTTGGAAAGAAAATATGGTAAGCTCCTGGGATCGTAAGTTTTATTGGGAAGGAAAGTCCCAGAGCATGCTCTATTCATGCAAATGACATGTTTAAGGTAGTTGCTATTGTCTGAAGGGGAATCCTTGCAAGAGGAAGTGTCTTTCCTGAGCCCAAAGTTCCCATCCAAGAAAACGGAGAGGTCCTAGCCTGAGTGTTCAGATTGTATTTTGAACACTTGAAATGCTGAAAGCTTCTTTTAGCCTGTGGTTGCCCAGTAGGTATGTCAGCTCACCTTTGGTTTTCAAGAACATACCGAATAAAAGAGATTCAGTATAATAAAATATGTCAAATATGGTAAAGATATAAATACAGGACTTTTCTGCTCTTGCCTTCTTTGATTCTTCTTAGAAGAAGGCTCCATTCCTGGATCCAACCTACATGTGTGTGTGTCTCAGAATACAACTAGATAAAAGGAAGTAGGTCCCTGTTCATTGAGGGGCATATAAACTTCTTTTTCCAGGTAAATGACTTTAAAGTAGTGAGGTTATTTTAATAATCTCTTTAGTGGGGAGCATGGGTTCTATTGGTTCTTTCAAAGAGACCACAACCAATGGCTGGTCAGGACAGATACTGCACTTATTTGTCTATTAGTTATTGAAAAAGACAGGGTAGAAAATTCTGTTCGGATAGCATTACAAGTGAACAAAGAGAGCAGGCAGCCAGGAAGTAGGTGGAAATAGCAGGTGAAGTGCTTTATTGATTAAGCAATTTCCCAGCCAGGTGAGACAATGTAGGATGGGCATGGGATTTGGGCTTTAGGATGAGTGGCACATAGATCAAAAGGGTAAGAAAGGAATGGTTCCAAAATGGATGCATATTTTTAAAAAATATGAAGGCCTTATCACATTTTTGATACTCAGGTCAGCTGGTTTCCTTGGCAACTAGAGCCCACCTCATTTAGGTGCTCAATCTATAGTAAATGTAGGCTACTCTTGGACTGTACCAAGGTCTCGTCACTCTTAACTCAAAATTCCGCTCATCTATGTGCTGTAATTTTAATATCCCCCATTTGACAGTGTGGATGATCTCTATTTAGTAGAGGTATGATATATGCAGCAGTATAAAAGAGAAACTCAGCAGCATAAGGAGGATTTAGGAGCCCAGGACTGAAATCAGACATCCAAGTACAACTCGTGCATTGACACTGGAAACCTCAGTGTCCTCTTCAGTAAAGTGGGGTTAATAAAAATAATAAAAACTCCTTTATGATACTGTAGTGTGAACAAACCAGGCATTTTCTATATGTCTTAGATAGGGTGGCCAGGGAAAATACACAACACTGAATTAAATTTGAATTTCAGATAAACAAAATTTTTTAAGTATATTGTATGCAGTATTTAGGACATATTTCCAAGAAACATTTATTGGTTGCTTCTCTGTTTTTTTTTAAAGATTTTATTTATTTATTTGGGAGAGAAAGAATGAGAGAGAGAGAGCACATGAAGGGGGAGGGTCGAGGGAGAAGCAGACTCCCCGCTGAGCAGGGAGCCTGATGAGGAACTCGATCCTGGGACTCCAGGATCATGACCTGAGCCGAAGGCAGTCGCTTAACCAACTGAGCCACCCAGGCGCCCCAGCTTCTCAGTATTTTTATTTGTTAAGTCTGACAGCCCTAGTCTTAGAGGATGAGTGGACATGGAGCTTTCACTCTTGATGGGGTGGTACAGCCTGACTTTGGTGGACAACTCTTATAGACAATGCCCAAGCCTGTAGGAGCAATGGTGAGTTGTCTTTATGGGGCCTTTAAGATTTTAATGGCTGAGGCAGCAGATATGTAGATAGGGATTTCAAAGTAGAGCAAAAGAGGAGAAAGATGGTGGCATCTGACTGATAGCTCAATATGCTATTGATGAGACACTTCCTGGGGGTTCCCAAGATTGAGAGACTGGAAAAGGAATGGAGATTCCATAATCAACTCAGGAACCCAAGATAAGAGAACATACCATTTACAAATTAAAAAAAAAAAATCCCTAGGCAATGATGTAGCCTGAAGAAACATAGGAATGTAGGATCCAGGACAAACTCTAACTCTGTAAAGAGCATGGTGAAACCCGAGTGTTGGGTAAATATTTATAACAGAAATGCATAGCAACCTTGAGTTCCAATGTGATTTAAAATGGTTAACCCATTGTTTCTCCCTGATGAAGAGGTAAGATTTAATAATTAGTCTGTAGGCTGCTATTTTCCCTGGTGCTGTCCTTGTGGAAGGCGGTCAGCAACACAACTCCCTCCTGGGTAAAGTTTGAATTTAATTACGTTCAGGGACTACACGGAATGCACCAATTCATTAACCTTGTTTACTTCAAGATGCTAAATTGATGCACTTATTCAAATAGGGTGGTTTCACATACTCATCTTAGGCCTCTTACTTGCAAAAGAAAAATGTCATCTTTAGCAAGTAATTATAGCCCAAAAGGCCATAACTAGGAAGCAAGGCCTTATAAAAGAAACACTGAAGATGCCATTAGCAGCTGGTCCTGGGAGAACCCAAGGGCCCGGCTGACACGTTTTGAGCAAAGTGACCAGCTGTAGCCCTCAATCTATATGGCCCACACTGCCAGCCCACACCGTGAGACCCACATGGCTTAGATTTTCAAAACTGTAATTTCTGCTCATGGCTGATGGATGACCAGCCTGATAGACTTCTAACACAGGGAGCGAAGGAACTGCCCTCCAACAATCTCTAAAGAAAAAAGTTACATCCACAGGAGGTATTATTTTTCTGCATTATTTTCGTGTCACTCTAGAAAAATCTCAAAGTGCACAAAATCTCCAATTCCATGCTCTTAGACCACAGTCACTTTAGGAAGGTTTGCCAAGTCTTATCTCTTTCTCATTTTTTTTTTTTCTGTAAGAACCCATCTTATAATTGGCTTCCTTGACCCAGAAATAATTCTGGAGCATCTAAAGCTTAGTGTCGGTCAGCTCGGCTCTTGGCTACTCTGAATTCACTAACTCTAGGCCTCTGGAGTTTCTTGACAAAATTGGCTCAGATCACATTTTCCTGGATAGCTTAATTTCAAATGAACTTTGTCCAACACTAAGGTTATTCCAGGAGTTTACAATGGCCCTAGGAAGACTCCAGCCTGCTGCATGAAAGCTGCATGGTTGAATGAGTGCTAGGGATAGCAGGTGACACCTGCCCAACACCGCCAACCTATATTGTTCCCTCCCCAACTTCTCTGTGAACTTTCTCTCCTGATACTTTTTTCCTGCTGAGAAGCTTCCAAAATTTTCTCCTCATAGTAGTCAAAACATCCACCACCAAACAGAATTACCCCGCTAGATGAAACAGGCTATAGAACCAGAAGATTCTATACTGTGGGAAGATCATTCAAGTCACTTCCCTCTAACTCTGAATCCTGATTTTCAGGTCCAAGAACAATGAAAACAACAAGAACACACAATAATAACAATGTCAGACACGTGCCAGATGCGTGCCATGTATTATCTCTAACGCTTGAAATAGTCCCGCAAGCATTTCCAAACAGGAACATGAGGCCCACAAAGACTGAACAACTTGGTCAAGGGCATACACAATCAGGAACGGGCAGTGCTAGATTCATACTCGGGAATGTCTGTGTCTAAAGCTGATGCTTTTTCTTCTAAAATATTCTGTTGCCCCCAATTATGGAAACTGTTCTTAGGAAAAACTTTGCACATTAGTTTGCCAAAGAGAGGTTGTTCTGGTTGTAATTCCTGCCTATATAAAAAACTGTGAGTTTGGTTCATGCCTCAGTCAAGTATCTTTTCAATCCCCTAGCTGAATTAAAGCTTCCTGCTTTGAGTTAATAGTATAAAAATCATACTCCTAAACATATAATTTTGTTTCCTTTAGCCCTTAGCCCGTGCCCCTTTCTTGATAGAGCACCCAGCCAAGTGGGCCTTTGAATCTGTTTCTAATAAAGGAGGCTGATTCTGCACCTTTTATTTTAAAGAGGAAGATAAAGGAAGGTTGTCTGTCACTGATTTGTCTCAAGGCATGTAACAGCAAGACATCTTGGTAGAGCTGAGGCTTAGCCCTCGGGCCACTGCATTGATTGTTATTTCTTCTGATGTCCACACCTCTTCGCAGGCTTCCAGAGCGGGGCTGGGATATTGCAGAATATCATGGACGTAACCATCTGCACTACTGAAAGGAATATGCTCCAAACAGTCTGCTCATTGCTGCAGAAAGAAATATCATATGAGAGACCAACTCTTGGTCTCCGTTTCCTCATTTATAAAGCAGTTGGCAAAATTTTCAAAACTACAGGTTTCTTTTATGAAAGAAAATCCTATGCAGAAACCCCGAAACTGATAGAACGGGAAACACTGTGGCTGAAACACAGGGTTGGAAAGCACCACCAGGGGCCTCACCTGGAGTCTTCCCTATTCCTCGCCCTGAGTTGCCTTTGGGGCACTTGCCTAAGAAGCTCTCCAAGACACAGCGTGACAACGACTGGATGAGATTTTCTTGAGGCCCGTCTCCAGCTCTGGCATTCAAGGATCTGTGGATTCCCTTCCTCCATGCGTCTGTCACATCAGGGGCACGGAAAGGCGTTGTCCCCTCCTGTAGCCATTGATCCCTCTCAGCCCACACTGGCGACGCTCCTACGATTCTGGAGGGTTGATGTTAGCTTCTCTCCTACTCCCACGCCTCTGGACCTTGTGAGTTCAGGGCAGGAGCCCGTCCCATTGCCTCGATTTCCCCAGGCACTGCTATTCCCGACTCGCTCTCAGAAACTTCGCGAAACAGTTATCTTGCTTCTCATTGCATACAAAGGTCAGGACATTCCACGTTCTTCAACGGTTTTCAAGAAATATTTCAGCACATTCGACTCTGGATGTCTCGGGGAGGAAGAAAAGTGTTACACATTCACTTCCTTGTAGAGCTAGAGACCCTTTGTAGAGGAAGCAAGCCAATGGTGATGACTTGAAGGTAGGATGCGGGGTTCGGACTACTACTGCCTCCCAGTGGTCCTTCGGGGGATCGCAGTAATGATGCTCCAACAGAGGGAAGAGAGTTCTAATGAAAAATCACAACAGATCCAACATAATCCAATGCAGAAGAGCCCTTATCTGCTGTTTTTTAGTAGTAGCACCGTTAGAAATGGGCTGAGTATCTTTTGAGCAAATGTGTTCGGGAATCTGCATTTGTATATCAGCTTTGCCAAATTATAAGCTGTGTAAAATAGGGTAAAAAACGGACCCCCTCTGAGCATTAATTTCCTTTTCTTCAGTAGAGATAATGACACCCACCTTGCAAGGTTTTGTGAGAATTAAATGACGTGGCGTGCTAGATTTCCCACCAAGTGCCTGGTACATACTTGGGGTTCAGTTAAACGGTAGCTATTTTCCTTTAAATGAAAGGGACATTGGACAAACTGTGAATACATCCTGTGGCCGAAAGCAGAAAGATCATTTCACTGGTGTTCAGTAGGGGAAATATGATTAATTTTCCCTCTTCTTAGACAAATATTTGTGAACACTGCAGACATTATGCCATTTTAGTACAAAATCAGAGTGGTCTTGAAAATGGTAAAACAGCCAATGATGTAATTTCCCCTAAAGTGTATCATATTTAGTTCTCGTCTCAGAAAATAAGAGAGAGGAGGAAAAAAAAAAAAAAACAGAAATAGAGACTTGACAAGTAAAAAGAATCACATGCTTTTAACAGTGCCATGTAATGGAGTTCAACCAATAAATTCTTTTTCCTTTCTTTTAGATAAATCTTCAAGGAAAAATCATGAGAAGAATGCTGGGGATATTTCTTGGTTTGGATACCAGGTTGTGGCAACTTCCTTTCTTTTTAAAACTTCTTTCAATTTGCTTTAGGTTGTTTTCTTAGCTATTTTATCATAAGGAGGAGTCGATGGGGGTGGGAATGCTATTTGGGGATCATCTTTCAAGAAAAACGATCCAAAATACTCCACAAGGATGAGCCAAATAAAATAGCATTTGACAGGTTAGAAGCTCCACTGGTAGGTTTTACAATCCATATTCCAAGCACCCAGAACTTCCTGACAAGAGCTGGTGCAAATTATTCTTTTCACATGTTGATTATCACCTGAAATTGTATCTGTAATATTGCTTCCAGGATCATAACAGCTGAGGGATCAGAGACACACTATCTAGAAAGGAAAGTTTTAAAGAAAGCATTTACAAACATGAACTCAAATATCCCATTTCAGAAAAATATAACAGATAGGCGGATGTTACATAAGCTCCAGGAATACTCTGTGTGTGTGTGTCTCTTCTAATTGGGACTGAGTACATGCAGAGCTATGTTTAAGCAAAACCAGTTACCATGGTGACACAGTACCCCATCTAAGTGCAGTGTGTGACTTCTAATTCTGTTTGTGTGTTAACTATTTAGCTGAAAACCAGGGAACATCTTAGAAGCCCAACAGACCGATCAAGAGTACCTCTCCAGGTTTCTTTATTTTTGCCCTGTCTCTGTCCTGGTCAACCTCTTCTGTCTTCAGACCAAATATTCAGTTTTCTTCTCTACATGATTATGGGTGAATACTTCTTTTTTCTTTTGACTGTACAACTTCAAAAAGAATCCAGAAAGGCTGACTGTTTCTCCTGTTACTACAGGACAGAACTCCAACCTGCTAAACAAGTCAATTCATTTTTAGAGAATTTATTTGTTAGTTCTCATTGGAGGTGGCATTTTCAAAATAAATCCCTAATATTAGAGCCTGTTGGTCTCTCTAATTTTAGACTTTTCCCTCCCACGCCCAGTCACGAGTTCTTCATTTTAGAGTCATGCTCTCTGGCTGAAGTATGAGGAAGCTGTTTTTTAGAAAAAAATGGAACACCAGTACATGTTGAAATAAACAAGAATATATAAATTCCAATCCTTTAGAAATTATGTTCTAAAAACTTAATGTTTGATAAGAGCTCTTTCAATATTTATAAGAGCAAATTATACCCATTTTTCGTGATTTCGTAGTTAAGCACTTGCTGTTTTGTCAGATCAATGGCAGGGGCAATTCCAAGTGAAACTATGAAAGTTACTTAAGAAGCTTAGTGAGTCCCTGACAAGAGCCAACCCTTGGTTAACCAAGTCTTGGCCCCATGGTCTGGAGGAAAGAATCACCTGGGCCAGGAATTAAACACATGATCTCCAGCCAACCTTCTGACAGAGTTATTTAGAAGAACCAAATCTATTAGTTGAATTTTTACCTCTTCTCCCTTTTCCACATTGTAATAGGTGTCCTGATAAATTAAGCTTCCAAAAAAGCTAGAGGAACAGAAGAATTGAAATATTACACTTTATCAGTGAAGAAGTGAAAAAAATTATGGCCAGAAAGCCCAAGGAAGAACAGTTACCTGTCGCTTCTGTGTGATAGATTTAGTTTTCATTGACTGAAGTAAATGTCTGTTCTTGGTTAGTGCTATAGGAAATTAGATTGAAAAAAAAAAAAGACTCCATCTGGCCTTCTGAGTCCTTGCAATCTAGTGTGGAAATAGGAATATAGAGTTTTGTAGCTAGTTATTAAGTGGTAATCTTTGCGACTTTAATGTCTACAGCCTTGGGAGTCCACTTATGTAAAAGGAGTAATATGTGCTATAAGACTATAAGCTGAGAGTCTTTGAATACCAGATAATCACAGAATTTATTCTGAAAAAACTCAAATTATTTAAATTAGATGGTAATAGTATGAATTCTTGTGCTGTGTGGATGAATAGAGCTAATCTATAGAGTGCTGAATGTGGGAGGTGTGCTGTGTGAGATTTCTTTTTTCTCTTTGTGTAAGCGATCGTGAAAATTTATGATATGCCTATTTCATTTGTTTGCACAGCTAAATAGTCATTTCCAAGAATGTGGAACAATTGCTTTTCTAGGAAGTAAGATTTCAGAACCATTTTTATTCCAAATTTGGGGTCAACTCTAATGACAGATGCACCATCCTTAGGAAAGTCAAACTGACTTTCTCCTGCTCAGGCCTAATTAATGTATGAGCTAGCTATGGTTTGGTTGAGCTCTTTTTAAAAATTCCTCTTCATTTTTAAATTATGGGACATAATTGCCATAAACCATTCCCTCCCTTTGTATCTCCATTCCCTTCTGATCTTTATCTCACTAGTACCTCTCTCCCACCAAAATGCAACCATCTACTCCATGAGAACAATCACTGTTAACACCTTGGTTTGTATCTTAAGATTGTTTTTTTGCATATGCAATTATATATGTAAACATACATATTTTGCCACCTCGTTATACCAGGAGAACCTGGAAGTGTGGACAGTATTGACACACTTATCTCTGGAGTCCCGAGGGTGGAGCAAAGCATTTCCTTTAATTCATGCCACCTGTCAGTTCAGACAGATCCCAGTTGAGACATAATCACAGAGATCTCATCCCTCTCACTCTGGTTTACTCCTTCTCCTCCTCCACAAGCTCCTGGTCTTACCTATGACTTTCATTGAAAACTTTGATGCTCAAGTGCCTGGATGTCACCTAGAGACAGAAGACAGAGTCCACCCCTTCTCTCCTGAGCTCTACAGAGCCAAAGAAAGCTGGAGCACCTTCCAGTCTTCAGAGTAAAATATCTACAAGCCAAACCAGTACTTTTCTGGCTAATAGTGACAGTTTCTCCTGGCAAATGTTTGTGTGTTATGCTCAAAAATCTTTGTATTATGTCTCACCAAGGACCACTCACCCTTAATAAGACATGACAAGAGCAGGGAGAGACAGGAGAGGAAAAGAAAGGAAAGAGGAGGCCCCTGAGTGCTATCTAGAAATATTTGCCCCCTGCCCCCCGCTACACATTTATATATTTTAAAAATGAAACCATCCTATATAGATTATTCCATGTTTTATATATATTTTTTTATTTAACAGTATATCATGGAGAATATTTAAAGGTCAGGATATTTTTGATGGTGTATAAAATTCAACTGTATGAATGTTATCACTTATTTATTTAACAAATCTATTTTGGAATATTTAGTGTCTTTTTTTTTTAGTATCTTAAATAATGTTGCAAGGAAAATCTTTGTATGCATAGTACACATACTTGAATGAGTGTATCTGTAGGATAAATTTCTAGAAATGGAATTGTTGGCTCAAAGTCATGCACATTTTAAACTGTTATGTGTATTGCCAAGGTGATAAACAATGCTGAGAGATTCTAGTAGTATGCTTGATGGAGCATTCGGGACACATATTTTAATTATTAATTATCAAATAAGTTTCTAAAGATATGGTTTATTAATCTGGGAAAGAGGAGGAGTTAAATAGGGAGGTGGGAAATAAGTAACCCCTCACTAAGACATCCTGGATTCTTAGGTATAATTTTGCTTTAAAGATAATCATCCTGTAGACCTTACTCTGGAAGCTCTCTTCTTTTTATCTTGATGCCATTTATTTTTAGTAGTATGTCTTATTTGTTTATCTGCCAAGTAGTCCTTCAGTCCATCCATCCATCCATCCATCCATGCATCCATCCATCCATCCATCCACCCATCCAACACTGATTATGCTTTTTGTTTGGCTCTGTATTTTACAAGTAAATGGAATTGCTTGGGAACAAGATATACTTGCTCTTAACCTTCAAGAAGCTTATTATCCTACAGATGGATATTAATAAATAAATGAATTAATTGTACCTTAGATGAGTGACACAAAGGAAAAGTACTAGGTGGTACGTAATAGAGGAATCAACTGAAGAACACTTCTTTGACAGTCATCTACTGACTTCCCTTTTCCATGTTTTTAATAACTTTAGCACTTGACTCCTACCCTCTATCATTATCCTTGTGTTCAACGCCTAACACCCTGACTCACAGTTTCTTCTACCCTCCTCTATTCCATCAAACTTATTTTCAGCAACTCATCACAATAGCCTCATTGTAAAACTCCAAAATCCGGAATGGTTTTACCACTATATTTTCAAATTCTGATACTCTTTCACTATGACCGCCTTATTTTCTCACCCCTACTGAACATACTCTTATCCTCCTTAGAATTGCACAACTTGAATGACTATTTACAATGCAAGTGTTTACATGCAATTGTCTCATGTAATCCCTCTCCCAAATCGCATGAAAGAGTCACTATTGTGATCTCATTCAATGAGTATAGAAACGTTAGAAGTTTAGACTTACCCAAGGCCTTCTAGGTCATTGAGTGACTTGAAATAGGTCTTTTGACCCCAGATCTGGGGCTTGTAACTCATATATCATTCTAAATCAATTATCATTTCAGTTTGGGTATTTATAAAATAAACAGATGAAGATGAAAAGGGAAATATAGCAGATTGCAAAGTAGGGGCAATATATTCACAGTGTAGCCTTCTAAGATTTGATAATTTTTTTAAAGATTTTTTAAAGATTTATTTATTTTGGGGGAGGGGCAGAGGGAGAAGGAGAGAGAAGCTCAAGCAGACTCCCTATTGAGTGTGGAGCCCTGACACAGGGCTTGATCCCAGGACCCCAAAATCAAGAGCTGGCTGCTTCACCAACTGAGCCACCCAGGCACCCCTAGCCTTCTGAGATTTAACAAAAGCTCTGACAATGTTAACTGGACTTATAACCCTCTTACTCCATCTCTGGGAGTTCAGGGAGGTGAGCACTTGTACAGAAGACCGACAAAGTCACGTCACTGTGTCTGCTGCATGCCATGTGCTTTGTCAGACTAACCGTGGGTGATGTATTAGACCCTAATACAGGAACCTATTAATAAGTGTTACTGGTACCATGGAGATTTCCCCTTTTTTATGCAAATAAAATTTGCCAAGTACTTTTGTCTACGTCAAGCATCTCAGAGAGCAACAGCCTATTTTAATTTTCCTAATGAATCTACCCTCACTGTTACTTGTCTCACTTTAGTTTTGTTTCTATTTGGTTGTATTGCATTTTTAAAAACATTTCCTTTTTTATGTCTCTTTTCATAGAGATAAACTCTGAGAGCGGGGACTTTGTCTCCTGTTTTTTACCTAGCATCTCAACAGTACCTGTTGAATGCATCTGTGGAATTAAATGGAACCTAGGATCTGACGGTTAACAAAACCAAGTTTTAGAAATATTCATTTGTCCATTTGCCATGCTTTATTATTATTATTATTTGTTCATCTCACCAATGTATTCTTTGAATCTCAACCACGTGCCAGGCACTGTGTTAAGCACCAGGAAAGTAAAGATAAATTAGACACAGCTTTGTCCTGGTGGCCTCACAAAAAGACATTGATTGACATAAAACTAGACAGAAAAAGATGTTATATTGCACTAAGGAAAAGTAGTCCATAAGAATCTTGTTGAAACCCTGGGGGAGATACACACTGAAAAAAAAAAAAAAACCTATGACAAAAAAGAAAAACTAGAAATCGCTTATTTCTAATTTAAGATGCATACCATTTCATTTTTGTCTGTGTTTTGTGTTTTGTTTGTTTAGTGTCTGTTGTTTTATATTAATGGATATTATAAATATATTTTTGCATAAGATCTCAAAGATGTCAAAATTTACTTTCCTAGGCAATATTATTATTTAAGAGTAGAACAAACGATGGTTGAAAATAGAGGGTAGGGGCACATTGGCTCCAAACCAAGAGAAGTTTATGTCTTGCTCAAAGATGGAATGAGGTTGATGTTCTTGATCAGCTAACATTTCTCCTCTCCAAGGTCCCCCAGGGAAGCAGCTTCCTTCTTTTGGCTCTACCATTCTTTAGAACAATAGTTCAGACCCATGTGGTTCTCCAAGTGTGGTCCCGAGACGAGGGGGACTGGCCTCATCTAGGACCTTATTAGAAATACAAATTCTCAGACCCCACCCTAGTCCTACTGAATACAAACTGAGTTCTGGTGATTAACATTTTTAAAAGCCTTCTGGATGACTCTGATCCATGGTAAAATTTGAGAACCACTGCCCCCAGTGTGGAGCCCCACACTCTGTGCATCTAGTAGGTGGTGGGGTAAAAGGAACACCTGCTTCATAAAAATCTTGACCCAAAAAGGTCACACATGAGTTACTTCCTCCACATTTTATCGTCTAGAAATAAAATAATGATACAGCCACAGGATCTCTTCTACGGAGTCTTAAATGCAAACTCATATAGGATGTAGGAGAACTGTGCTTTGGGGGCTGAGGTATGGCTGTGGTGGGATGCTCTGAAACATGATACTGAGAGCTGGGTTCCAGAACATCTGTGTGCTATGTGGTGGCCCTAATACAATTCAATAGACACTGGCAAGATTTGGGGACGGAAAAAAACTTCTTTTGCATACTGATGATCACCAGCGGGAGAGTATATCTTGTTTGAATAATGTTGTGTGAAGTGACAAGTGGGAACGATGACTTCACCACGAAGAATGATTTAAAAAAAGTAACGGGGCAAGTAGAGAGATTTGCCCCTGCTGAAGGAGAGACCAGGCCAGTTATTTATTTATTTATTTATTTATTTATTTATTTATTTATTTATCCATCTATCTTTTGGAGGGGGTAGAAGAGGATGTGGAACTGAGGAAAACAAGTTAAAGATGAGCATGTGTCAACTCGTGGAGAGGCCTTCTTGAAAGACAGATTCCCTGGCCCCAGCCCCGAAGTTTCTGATTCAGTAAGTCAGGGGGAGAGTAGGGGATTTTGCATTTTCTAAGTTCTCTGGTAATGTTGCTGTTGCTGTTCAGGGAGCCTCACCCATTAAGGATTGTAAAAGGAGCCTTTCAGATGAAGCCTGGATCTGGGGAAAATCCTCCTTGCCCTGGGGCTTTTTGACAGGTGTTCACGTGAAATGCAGGCCACAGTAGTTTTCTTTTTGCTGGCAAAGTCAGACGTGTGCTCCTGACCTGAGGGTTGGAGAAGAGATGTTGGCTGCTCTCCAGAGGAAAAAACAACAACTTTGCACTTTGAAGGAATGTTTATTAATCCTCATTATACCAGCAGTTCTTCTTGTAGTGGGAATAAGGAGCTAAAGGTGTAACTCATTTCATTAATTAGACAATCTTTTTCAGTCACAAAAGTGTTTTATTACTCTTTCTTCCTTTCTCACCCTACCCATCAGTCCTGTTGAACATTTCCTAATATGCACAGACATACATACATAGATGTAAACACACAGACAGACACACATACACATACACACACACACTTCCAGTCCCTTCTACCTGTAGACGGAGGTTTGACTTCATGTAGCTACTAAGACATCAGCCTTCATTGTAGCCAAGTAAATGCATTAGGAACACGAAATTATCTTGCTTAATTTAGTTGTCTCCTATAGGATAGCTTGCCTAATAAGTATGGTTTTTCCTGCAGTTTAGGCTGAGTCTGTGAATTTATTGAATCCAATTGCTCTTGCTGCCTTCCGATCTCTCTTTGTTGCTTCTGAATTAAAATTCTGTGTTAGCTACAGCCCGGTATTTCTGCAAACTGCAGGAGGTGTGCATTTTCCTTGTGTGTTATTGTTATTATGATATTAATTATACTACACTCAACTGAATGTCAGCAGTGTCCCAGGAAATGTACTGAGCAAAGATTTTGAAAAGGTCCCTGCCTAGGGATTATGTAAAAGCCATTCAAGTAGAATTGAATTAACATATGACTTAGTTTAGTGTGGCTGAACTTGAATATTGATTGATTCTTTGGATGAGAAGTGAGTTTGTGGGAAAGTAAAAGAAATGAACTCTAGAAATTTTAGGATCTAGTTTTCTGTCACATCCCATGATTTGAAGTAAGAACTGGGTTGCATCTGCAGCAGATAATTTGTGCTTATCCTTCTATTTCTTGGAGTTGAAATAGTAGGATGCATGGACTCAAATTGGCAGTAGGGGAGTGGGAATGATGTCTGATGTCTTCATCACACCATTTTTCAGACCAACTGTGCTCTAGCTTCTTAGCTTTAAATTCTTCATTTTGTTTTTCTGTTACAGGTGGATGAGAGTAACGTTTTGTTTCATGTTAAAAAAGGTTGTATATTTTCTCTATTTTCCTGGGCCACTTCTCCCACCTTGTTTAAATTTTTTTTTTACTGAAGTTTATTATATGTGAATGAAGTACATAAAGTGCATTAATTAAAAATGCATGGATTGATCTATTTTTCCTGTCTACACCTATATAATACCTGGCTCAAGACAGACTATTCTCATACCAAAGAATTTTCCTCATTTTTCAGTCAATACCTCCCCCAAAAGTAATCACTACTCTGATTTCTATGTTCTAACATCTTGAATTAGATTTGCATGCTCTTGAACTTAATATAAATAGCACCATATAGTGTACTTTTTGTGTCTGGTTTCTTCTGATCACTATAATGTCTGGGAAAGTATGTGGTTGCATGTCTGTGGTTGTAATCTATTTTTTATTTCTGTGTAATATTCTGTTTTATGAGCACATACAATTCATTTCCTCATTTTTTTATTATTGGATATGGGTTGTTTCCAGTTTGGGCTGTTATGACGAAAGCTGCCATCAATATTTTTATACGTGTGTTTTGGTGGTCACATGAAATAATTATTCTTGAATCATGGAATCAGCATATGATTAGCTCTAATTTGTAATGGCCATATTCCAAATTATTTTATTAATTTATACTTCCTCCAGCAATGTTTCAGAGTTCCAGTTGTTCCACATTCTCATCCGTGTTTGGTATTGTAAGTCTTCAAAATGTTAGCTATTCTTGTGGGCATGCATTAGTATCTCATTGCCAACCTAGTTTTTTTTTTTTTAATCAATTAATGAAACTTCTAGATTAAATGAAAAAGAATTCTTAAGGTTGTTTAGAAAATGTCAGTTTAATCAGCTGTCAATATTTTAAAGCCACGAGAGACATCTACACAGTTATTAACTAGTCAGGTTCAGTGACAAATGGTGAGCTGAGATTCACACAAGAAATTATTATTATTAAATGCATGCTAGGTAACAATTAATTTGCTAAAGTATTTATTGTTGTGACTGTGATACAGCACTAACATTGTTTCTAAACACTCCACAGTTTGTGCTGCTTTCAGACCCTAATGTAATCCAGATGTCCTCACCCGATCTAAGTACAGTTCTTTAATGAACTCCACAGTCTTTAGAGCCCCAAGCATTTACTCTAAGAACAGAACCCACAAACTAAACAAGATAATTTTTTTTTCTGAGAAGCTGCTATCAACATTTTTGTACACTTTTTGGTGATCTTATACTCCTGGGTCATTAACTTTTTTCAAATAATTTCGAAAATTTGTCACAGGGCGCGTGGGTGGCTCAATCGTTAAGCGTCTGCCTTCGGCTCAAGTCATGATCCCAGGGTCCTGGGATCGAGCCCCACATCAGGCTCCCTGCTCCGCGGGAAGCCTGCTTCTCCCTCTCCCATTCCCCCTGCTTGTGTTCCATCTCTCCCTATATTTCTCTCTGTCAAATAAATATATAAAATCTTAAAAAAAAAAAAAGAAAATTTGTCTTTGTGCCATAATGGGAAAGTCAAACGATGAGGTGTTTTCTCTATTAATTGTTTTTGGGAAAAGGCTGTTCTTTTGTCTCCATTGGGCCTTTTTTTTATCCTTTTCCAGCTTACCTTTGTTCTGGGTGTCAGAGTAGGGGCTGACTAGGCCAGAGACGCTGCTGCAATCTCACTTTCAACGAGTGGTGTTTGGAAACCCAGATTTCTGGGTTGGATTAGAGGCAAACAAGACTTGAAGGAAGGGGACCACATCTCAGTTCAGGCAGTTTTGTAGTTTCTTTGTTCAAGTCTTCTGACAACTTCTTTTGATGAACAAATACTGAGTAGGGTGGAGCAATAGAACAATAAGTGAAAGAACAATGGAATTCTTTAAAGTGGTTTTTAAAACATCCTTAACAATTGTCGGAATGACTTCTATCTGCAGTTGAACCCAAATGCTGAGGCCAGAGAAGAAAGGGAATCACTGACACAGAAGAGGGAACTGCTTTAGCAGTATGTGATGTTGATGAGGTCCAACACAGCAGTGTAATATAGTTAATAAGTACCAAGACAATTCAATGGGAGAAAGAATAGTGTTTTCAATAAATGTGGACAATTGGGTATCCACATGCAAAAGAATGCAGTTGGACTCCTACTTCACAACATATTCAAAAATTAACTGAAAAAGGATCAAAGACCTAAGTGTAAGAGCTAAAACTATAAAGCTCTTAGAATAAAACGTAACTGTAAATCTTTGTGACTCTGACTTGCGCAATGATTTCTTAGATTTGACACAAAAAGCACAAGCAACCAAAATAAAAATAGATAAATTGGACTTCATCAAACTTTAAAACTTCTGTTCAAAGGACTCTATAAAAAAAGTGGAAGACAACCCACAACATGGGAAAAAATATTTGCAAACATATATATCTATAAGGGACTAGTATCCAAAATGTATAATTATTCACCTCAATGACTAAAATACAAATCACCTAATTTTTAAAAATGGGCAAAGGATTTGAATAGACATTTTCCAAAGAAGATATACAAATGGGCAACAAGCACATGAAAGGATGATCAACATCATTAGTTATTAAAGACTACAAATCAAAATCACAGTGAGATACTATTTCATACCTATAACAATGGCTAGAACTAAAAAGCCTAATAATAGCAAGCACTGGGAAGAATGAAGAGAAATAGGGACCCTCTCACATATTACTGATGGGATTGTAAAATGACATAGCCACTTTGGAAAAACAGTTTGGCAGTTCCTCAGAAAGTTAAACGTAGAGTTTCTATATGACCCAGAAATTTCATTCCTAGGTATATACCCAAGACAATTGAGCATCTATCTATACAAAAACTTATACATGATATTCATAGCAGCAATATTCATAATAGCCAAAAAGTATAAACCAAATATCCATCAATTGATGAATGAATTTAAAAAAGTGGTATATCTATGCAATAGAATATTATTCAGCCATAAAAATGGACAAAAAGGGGCAACCTGGGTCAGTCAGTCAGTTATGCATCTGCCTTAGGCTCAGATCATGATCACAGGGTCCTGGGATCAAGCCCCAAGTCAGGCTCCCTGCATAGTGGAGAGTCTCCTTCTCCCTCTGGCCCTCCCCACTCTTGTGCTCTCTCTCTCTCAAATAAATAAATAAAATCTTAAAAAAAATATCTGGGATATGTTACAGCATGGATGAACTTTAAAAACATGCTAAGCAAAAGAAACCAGATATAAAAGACCATATTTTGATTCCTTTTATATGAAATATCCAGATTAAGCAAATCCACAGAGACAGAAAGTAGGTTAATGTTTGCTAGAGAAGAATGGGGAGTGATTGCTAATGGATATAGTATTTTGGTGAGGGTGGTACTCTTCTGGAATTAAATAGTGGTGATGGTTGCTTAACTCTGTGAATATATGAAAACCCAATGAATTGTATAATTTAAATGAGTAAATTATATGGTATGTGAATTATATTTCAATTAAAATATTGTCTAAGAAAAAATAGTTAATGTAATATTTGTTTATTTTCTGAATATGCAATATCTTTATATTCTTGTAAATCTAATATTTAATATTTTAATATTATTTATTACTGTAATAGAAATATATGACTTTGGATTAGTTCTTCAATCTTTATAGGCTTTCGGTTTCTCAATATAAAATAATGAATCAATACGAAAATAATTGTCAAAATCTCAATAAGAAACTACCAGTTTCAAATATTCTGTGTTGAAATAGTCTGTGTAAAATATATGAAATATAGAAATCAAATATCAGCAATTTGATTCTTATAGACTGTCTTGTATGAAAAAATATGTAAAATTTAAAAAATTATAATAGGCAGTGTGTTTTATTGACAAAGTTTTCATTTTATTTCCTTTTATTCTTCTATGGTGAAGTAGGAAATTCAAAACACAAAATCAAATGTAAAGATTTTATTCTGGAAACAACTAAGTGTCCCTGAACAGTGTCCATGGGGATGAATGGATAAAGAAGACGTGTGTGTGTATGTATAATATGCATATATATATATATATATATATACACATATATATATAATACATATAACAAAATATTATTCAGCCATGAGAAAGAAGGAAATCCTACCATTTGTGACAATATGGACATTGTGCTAAGTGACATAAGTCAGACGGAGAAAGACAAATACTGCATGGTATCACTTATATGTGAAATCTAAAAAGAGGTCAAAGTCATAGAAACAGAAGTAGAAAAGTGGTTGTCAGGGACCGGGGATGGGGAAAATAAAAAGAGGCTGGTAAAAGGATACAAACTTTCAGCTATAAGATGAATAAGAGCTGAGGATCTGATGTACAATATGGTTACAATAGTTGATAACAAACACTGTATTGTATAATTGAAATTTGTTAAGAGAGTAAAACTTAAGTGTGGGAAGTGTTTTCATAAAAAAAAAGATATATGAGTTGATAAATGTGTTAAAATTAACTAGATGGGGTGAATACTTTCACAATGTATAACAAACCACCACAATGTATACTTTAAAAATCTTACAATTTTATATGCCAATTGTAGCTTAATAGAGCTGGGGAAAATTTTTTCAAAAAATTGAAATGTCAAAAAAATGACAGTAAATTTCACCCACCCTCCTCCCCAAGGAAAGAAGTTAGTGCAAGAGATTTGTTGCCTCTGTTTGCTATGGACATATTAATGAAGAGGGTGATGTGGCAGAGGAAAAGGGAGAGGGGAGTGGGGAGGGAGAAGAAGGAAACGGGGTAAGCGGAGAGGGGAAAGGGGAGAGAAAAACATCAAACTTTCTGAACAGCTATTTAAAATAAAGTGAGCAATCCAAATTATCCCCCACCTGCTTTCTTCTAATTTCAGATGTTCTAAATTCTAAATCAACCAGAAGTATATTAATTATAAATACGACCAGTGTTAAAGCCAATATACTGATTTTAGTTTTATTCCTTTTTAACAATACAAGTGAAGTTTTCATTTTCTATGTGCATTTTTAGTACACTGGGGCCTATGCATAAACATTGTATAACACACATTTGAGACCATTTTTAAGACTTAGAATGTTATTTGACAAGTATATTTTGATAAAAGTTTTATTCTTATTATATTTTTGCTTCTGTGACATACTATTGGGCATATATATGATTTCTTTGGATTCTACATAAAAAATAAAGCCTCAAATATCTAAAGCAAAATGTGATTTGCTTTTAACCTGATTTCCAGGAATGCATTGGACAGGATTGAGATGCAAATGAAACAAACACGAAATTGGAATAAATTGAAATGCAGGCAGTCCCCTGCTTTTAGATTCAGGGAGTTCCTGAAAACCAGACTTGTTATTTTCACATTTTAATGAGTGATTACTTTTAATGGGAAAAGGGTTTTGACTTGCAAGTCTAGAACTGTTCTGTTTTACTGCCATAATGAGTGTCGGAGGGTGATTCATCTCCATGCAAAGGAAATGGTCCGTTTATTGGAAGTTTCCTAATTTCTTTTCTAGGACAATGTCATATCTGCATTATGAGTAATCAACTATATATATCATTATGTTTCCAAGAGTGTAAATTTATCAGCGTAAACATAACGGTTACGATGTTTCCCAAATCTTCCTGGAATATACTTTTATGAAGGACACAAAAGATGTTGTTGACTTGATTTCTTTACAAAAAATATCAGTGAAGGTACTCTCTTGATTTCTTTTTTAATGATTCTTAAATGTCCTGAACCTTTTCCTGGACTTGAAATGATGTGCCTATCTTAAGTGCGGGGAAAGGGGGAGAACGAGCTACGTGACAGCTGAGCGACGGCAGGAGGGGCTGGGGCTGGAGCTTCAGAGCACCTTGAGGCAAAAGTCCACAAACCCAGTGGCAGAACCCAACAAAAATGTTTGTAAGCCCGTGTTACCAAAGTGGTAAAGATAATAGTATTATTTTAGGAAACTTATATTTGTTTTCACCTTCATACTTTATTTTGTTCACTACAGTTTCTATCCTCTAGCCATTCTACAGACCCCAGAGAATATTGTCTTAAAAATGTATGAAACAATATATGTTTATTGTTAAATATGAGGAAATGTAAATAATGAAAAAATAATGGGGTGGGGAAGAAAAGAACTAACCTATTTTGGAAAATAGTATTTTTAAAGCAAAAGACCAAAAGAATTGTATACACATGCTGTCTTCTCATTAGTAATTATTTTTTTCTTGTAGCAATATGGGTTAGCAATTCTGAGACTGCTTTTTGGGTGTACTAGGATTACACAAATAAGTAAAACATATTGTAGATAATTAAAACCACATTTCTTACGGTCGGAAAAAAAATGTTACAAATGAGGAATAGGAAAAGGCTAAAATGAACGCTGTGGTGTTGAATTGAAATTGGAGTCATCAGTATGAACCTGTGGTTTTTAATATAGTTTTACAGATAGTTACACAGATAAATATAGATGTGTGTGTATATGTGGTTGACTGTACATACATAGATTTTTTAACATGTCCACTGAGGGTGCCTAGAAGAAAGGCAAACCCAGTAGCAATGAGCATACCTAGTGCCCAGACCTTGGTTTCTAAATATCATTCTCCAACTAAAAAAAAACAGGTCTCTGGAGAAATAGTTGATTCCCATACTGGGTTAGGGAAAATACAAGATCTTAGAATATCTTTTTGTACCAGAAAATAAGGAAGTGATTGAAAAAGAATGGATTATGTTGAAAGGACAGGACTCACACTAAAGGAGCTCCTGGTGGCCAAACCTGGAACAAAATAGATGAGAGTATTGATTTATAACCAATAGAATAAAATGAATATTTACAAGCCCATATTGATATAAATAAATAATCAGACAAGTAGAAAAATGGGGGAGAAGAGAGATAACTCTTTCTTACAGAAGAATTCCAATTCATCAACATAGAAGAGGCAAAGGAAATACAAACTTTATTAGGTAATCCCCACAGTAGTAATTGTAGGCACAATCCATGGATGGTTGCTAAATTAGCAGGTAAAAGTTTTAGGAGAAGCAGGGCATGTGCATAATTTCAAAAGGTCTTACACAATATATTTATTAAATACAAAGGGAAAACAGGGAGATAATTAGCAAACACCAACTTAAAATTATTAATGTTAATATCATCATAATTAAGATCTTTCAACATCAGGTATACTATATTATGATGCAGAGGATACCAATTCTGTGATAGCCTTGCCCAAAATGCATAACTTCAGTTTAATTATGAGAAAATATTAGTAAAACCCAAATCGACAAACATTCTGCCAAACCATTGACCAGCAGTCTTCAAAAGTGTCAAGGTCAGGAAAGTTAAGACTGGGGAACTGTCACAGATTGGAGAAAACTAAGAAAACATGATGATTAAATGCAATGTAGGATCCTGGTTTGGGTCCTGGAACAGAAAAAGGACATCAGTGGAAAAATTGGTGAAATTTGAATAAGGTCTGTACTTTAGCTTATAGTATGTACCAATATTAATTTCCTGGTTTCAAAAATTGTATTCAGATTATGTAGGATATTAACATTAGGAGAAGCATGGCAAAGACTATATGGGAAGTCTGCATAGTAGTCTTTCTACAACACTTCTGTTGTAGAAAGATTTAGACATCTCAAAATAAAAAAAAATTTAAAAATACAATTAAAACCATGTGAAATCCCATCTCTGGAAAATGCCGATATGACTCTTCATGACTTTTTCCTATGTGTGTACATATTTTAAACAACGACAAAAATTTTTCCTTGGTGGTTAAGAGTACAGACTCTGGAATAAGAACCCCAGTTCTCCTACCTATGAGCTTTGTTACCTTGGAAAAATTTCCTTGCATCTGTAGCTTATTGGAACAATAGGAAGAGTAATGATGGTAGCACCCTTACAGGCGTGAAGATTACATGAGTTAATACATTTAAAGCACTCAACACTATAACTAGCACATAGTAAGTTCTCAATAAAGGCTAGTCATTGTAAAGATGGCTTATTGTTTTGTAACCCTGGACTAGGTAAGTGTTTAAGGACACTAGCATGCATTTAATGGCATGCATGAGATACTTGCGTAGGTAAGAAACATTCCTGGACTAAAGGAAGTAAAATCCTAGTTGCAAGATTCTAGAATTACACTACATAACACTAATATAAT